CACCAGCTCCATCTCATAGGAGAGAGCAGTTCGGCCAAAGAGCCCACTGTAACAGGGCTGTATTGTCAGAAGGTTGCGAATTGTTCTGTGAGGAATTCATTCCTGTTTCTTATATGGATTAGAATAAGGAGTTTGAAGCAAGAGTTGAAGCAAACTCAGCTCATTTTAAAACTAAGTTTATATTTTATTTCAGATCTTCCTGTAATTCCTTATTACCCCTAAAATCATTTTGTGATTCATAAAATATGTTTAGTCACTGTGTGTTTTAAGAAATGGAATTGAATAAAGTAGAATGTATTAGAGTTTTAACTGTTTGTGCGTGTCCATGTTAAATCAGTTTCATATTGTAGATCACAGCAAAGTTTAAAGAACACAGCTGCGTCTGTTGGCTATAAGATATAAGATGGGGACATTGGCAGCTTTGCTTTTCTCTGTCATTCAGACTTCCTTTCAAATGCTTTATGAATGGTTCTTTGTAGGTATTAAAGATAGATTGTTTCATTTTTGTCCATTTATTTGTTTAAATTTGGTTTTTATATGTTTATCAAAATTATACACACCACACACATATACTTAAAGAATGATTAAAAAGACCTCTAAGAAAAGAAATACCAGGAGTTGGGAAATAGCCCAGTGGTAATGCTGCTGGACCTACATGGAAAAGGTCTTCGGTTCAAGTCCCGAGGCCTCCCTGAACATGCAAGCTACTCACATGTGTCCATAATCTTGGCTGGCCAAGACTAGGGACAGGGGTGTGAATCATGCTATGAAGACCCTATTGGGGATCCCTGTCTATCCCTCCCTCCTCCATGTGTCTCATGGAGGAAACAAACTAAAAAAAAAAAAAAAAAAACACACACACACACACAGAGCCCCACCCTTTTCTTGCTCCCTAGAGGTAATCCTTTTAACTGGTTTAACTGATTGTTTCAGGATCTTTCACCACATCTTTAATGAATGCTTATATGACACATTCATATTGCTTGAGAGACAAAAATATATTCATACACATGTTTTTCACATCAGTAGCTGCTTTAATTTTCCTTGTACTCAGTGTAAATTTAGTAACACAAAAATCAATACAAGTTGAGTATCTCTTGGACCAGAAGTGTTTGGATTTCAGACTTTTTGAATTTTTAGATATTTGCATAAACATAATGAGGTATCTTAGAGATAAGACCCAATTCTAAAGCACAAAACTTATTTTTTTATAAACACATAGCCTGAACTTTTATGCAAAATTTTGTTTTGACTGCAACCTGTCACATGAGGCAGACACAGAATTTTCCTGTTGTGGCATCATGTCAGTGTTCAAAAAGTTTCAAATTTTGGAGCATTTCAGATCTCAAATTTTTGGTTTAGGAATGCTTGCCCCCTACTTATGTGTGCTGGTGGGCTAATGTGCATATTAATGTAATGCCTTTTGCCCAGCCCTCAAGCCAGTCAGTATCCTGGGCAATAGTGCCTGGAGTGTTTCAGATCACTTCAAGATATGACCTGCTATTGGCCATGTGGCTTTTTGTTGTGTGTTACAGAGCTATGTGTCCCAAAGCAGCTGTGTTCAAAAAGTTTCAAATTTTGGAGCATTTCAGATCTCAAATTTTTGGTTTAGGAATGCTTGCCCCCTACATTGCTTATGTGTGCTGGTGGGCTAATGTGCATATTAATGTAATCCCTTTTGCCCAGCCCTCAAGCCAGTCAGTATCCTGGGCAATAGTGCCTGGAGTGTTTCAGATCACTTCAAGATATGACCTGCTATTGGCCATGTGGCTTTTTGTTGTGTGTTACAGAGCTATGTGTCCCAAAGCAGCTGGGGCCCCTTTTACCAATGTTATATTTTCAGTTAATTATTTTACAAATTGGATCACTGAGTGGCATGAAACATTAGCATAAAGTTATTGAACCTTAGTACATAGCAAACCTACACGTAAACAGAAATGATACAACACAAAAGTTTTAGGGAGTGTTACTGCCTTGTTTTTGCCCCCAAAATCTTGAGTAGTTAAAAATTTAATGTGTCTGAAGACATAAATGAAGATAATAAAGGTTGGTTGAGTGTTACTGCACTCACACTCTAAGAACTGTATACTTTTACTTAACTATATTTAAAACACTAAATCATAAAAGACTATAGTGTATTGTGTGTGTTGAGGGTGGTTGGGGGAGAATGTGAGCATGTCATGAATGACCTCACCACTGTGACTGGATCCTGCTGAGGAATGTCCACTTCTTGTTTGGGGAACTTGATACTAAACTGTGTTTCCTCCGAGAGCTATCTTAATAATTTATGTTTTATAAAATTGTAGCTGCCTGGTATATTAATTAAGAGGAATGATGTGTCATACCCTCCTTTCCCTCACAGAAGCATTTTGTCTGTGTGTTCTCCTTAACAGCTGTGCTCTTTCTGCAGTGACTAGCATTTGGTATGTGGTAGGACTTTTTAAAACCTCCTTTACCCTGAAAAGTCACCTCTTCTACCACAGAGCCAGAGCTGAAAATATCTCCGTTGCGTAGCACCGTAGCACTTCCTGCAAAATACCATTAAACATTCCCACCCTCCACCCAGCACTGACATATATAGCATCACTGCAGTTATCTGCAGAGTTACAGATGGGAAGATAATATTTTCAGAGACCTCATCTGAATGTGACCCACCATGTTTATGGAGAAGTAATCTGTATCCCACCCATGCCCCCAAGGTTTAAAGAAAAAGAGTAATAGAAAAGAACCATCTGGGAGTTGTGTTCTATCTAGCCAAGTAACTGCTAGGTGGGAGTGACTACCCTATAGTCAGTCCTAACTTCTTGTCATAGAAAAAAGGTATTTAGAAGTGGACTTAAACATCCTTGAATTTTGAGAACCAGTGGTGGAGGGCACATATGAGGATATTTCTTTTTGATTAATGATGATGTGGTTTTAATTTGATCACAGAGGATACACCAGCTGATAGATGATGAGATAGGCCATATTTACGGATACAGGTTGGTCAGAACAGACCACATCGAAATGTGGAGAAGTAGTATACTTGTTTATGATTTAATGGTAGACGTCACATTAGCATGCTCTTTTCCCTGTTTATGTACTCTTTGCACACAGGTATGTATGTTACTGTATTTCAGACTTTGGGGAAAAAATACAAGTCCTTCTTCAAACAAAATCTTAGGCCAGGTTCAGAAGTGTCATGGTACTGTGCAGTGGAGATATTTTGTGTGGGAGAGCAAAGTGGAGTTGGGGTGTTTATTTCTTCCTACTTTGGGGCAGGAGAGTGTAGGGGAGAGTGGGCATCTGGGCAGTTAAATAGTAGAAGAGGTTAGAACTCACTGGGTTTTTTTGTTTGTTTTTGGTTTTGTTTCTTATTTATTTACTTAGAATGAATCAGACAATCTCATTGTTCAACACATAAAGACACATTGTGAAGATTTTCCTCCTAACTGTTTTCACTATCCCATTTCCCATTCTAAACATCCCCACATATTGACAGCAGACCACTCTTGGGGGACTTACGTGTATCCTTCCAGAGCTTTATTATAATATATATCTACCAGGTGATACAGGTTACTTTTTCTGTTTTTATACACAGATTGCTTTATGTACTGTATTCTGACTTCTGTAATCTAACAATATATCCTAGAGCTATTTCCATATCAGTACGTGGATATTGGAACTCACTATTTGAAAGCCACTGATCTAAGTGCTCTTCTAGGTTCTCTGAAGAGTGTATCCTGGTATCTGCTACTGAGACAATTTAAGGCCCAGGTGTTTAACTTTCTTTAGTTTATTTAGTGAAAGAAATTTTAACCTCCAATGTGTCCTCAAGACAAACTTCCATTGTTTTTCTTGTTAACTTCATATTTCCACAGTGGCATCCTGTAATAGTCGCATGTCCTCCTTTTGGATGATGTAACATTGTGGTTTATGTGGTTGAAATGTTGTTTTCTGTCACCCACAAAAAGTTAGGAACTTCCAGGAGTTCATTATTATGAGTTCTTCCATAGAAGACGGTCACGTCCAGGCAGAAAGGTACACATTGAAACTGTCACATGGGGTTTTGAGGAGCTAATGGGAGATTTGTCCAAGGCGCCATCCAGGGCTCTCTCCAGCCCTGAGGCCTTTTGTCTGACTGGATAGGAAGCAGGGTGCCAAGGAGTGTGTTCCGTCTCCGCCCAGCCTCCTGGGTGCCAAGGTGCATTGGTGAGACCGGGAGGAGGCCTGTCTTCGTGCTCCGTGACTGAGTTCTTTTCCTGTCTCTACGTCAGTCTCCTCATCTGTGAAATAGACAGCCTTACTAATTGGAGGTGTGGTGTGGTGATAAAGGACACTTTGGATCAAGAGAGACCTGAGTTATTTACCCCTTAGTACCGTGAGCCAGATTCTCAACTTTGCCCACCTTCACACATGGGAGTGACGGTGTCCCTCAGGGGGTTGTTTGAAGAGATTCCGGGGGATGATGGACTAAAGTGCTTAGCCTCGGGCTGGGAGTGGAGCTGCTCCCCCTCAGATGGGTGGTCAGGAGAGCAGATGATTTGAAAAGGGAAAAAAATTGTTTTAAAAATAGTTATTTGGGGATAGCAAGTGCCATGGTGGTTAAGGCAGTGGACTCCCATGGCCGACCACAGTTCGAGACCTGGACCCAACAGCTTGAAAATTATGCTGTGTGTGTGTGTACATGCATGCCCCAAATTCAGAGAGAATGGAGAAGGAATTGCAGCATGGCCATCCCCCTGGGGATGACATTTCTCACTTTTCCTGTCTCTCTCTGTCGAGTACATACCACCCTATGGCAAAAACTTAGGGGGAAAAAGTGTTCTATCAGTATAATTCCAAGACATCTGTCTTGTCACTTCCTGAATGTGTTGGTGGGATTCCCAGTTCCTACTGATTTTGAAAGCCATGTAAAAATGACTTTCTTTAAATGCTTGTTTTCTTGCTAGGTTGGGATTTAGAAAGTGTGTCTCCTGTTGACCCCACTTTCCTCATGGGGGCCTTGTGCTGTGTTCCAGGTAGAGCAGGCAGAGCGCAGCAGAGGCCCACATCGTTGCCGCCATGCCGTTCCCGTTCGGGAAGTCCCACAAATCCCCAGCAGACATCGTGAAGAACCTGAAGGAGAGCATGGCCGTTCTGGAAAAGCAAGACATTTCTGACAAAAAGGCAGAGAAGGTATGTGCATATTTACTTACATAGTTTTAAATTTATATGTTAAATCTTTTTATTGGAAGCAAATGTAAAACAGATTACGAGGTAATATTTAAAACAATCCATGAACTTCAATTTGGATTTTTGGGGGGTTTTGAAAACACAGAGTGGCACCTGCTGCTGCTTCTGAAATGCAAGTTTTCTCCTGTACTGGTGTCTTAACATATTTCAAACCTTTTCTCAGTATTTCAGTCAGCTTTTCAATTTCTTTTGAATTGTATTTATTTCATTATTGACGTTATTTTATCTGATTCTCAGTATCAGTGCTTTGTCTGCCAGTCGTCCTGCAAGAATCCCTCTTCTGGCTTTCCTTCTGCTTTCGCAGAAACCAGGCTGAGCATCTCCCTCCAGCCAATCACCACAGTGCAGGCCCTATCTTTCATCTTGTCTTGCCCCTCTTCCTGAAGCCTCATTCTGTACTAACTATATGTGTCCTGCCTCCTAGAGGGTTTATAGGTCAATTCTCACTTCACTCCTACTTGAAGATCCTCATAATCTTTCTCGTGTATGCTAGAAGTAGCCTTCTTGCTGCGCTTTCTAGAATATCTCTCCCACTTTGAACTTTTAGTAAAGAGTCCTCTCATGGCACACAAGACCCTTTGTGATCTGGTCTCTGCTTCTCTAGTTGAATTAAAATCTCTCCTTCGCTTATTCTGTAGGCTCCAGCACTCTCAGTTGAATTAAGTCAGATAATTGAGTACATTGTTTTAATTCCTTTGTCTTGTACTTCTTGCCTGGAATCTTGTTCTTTCCCACCCCGTTTCTACCAAACCCCCATTATTTTGAAAACTACTCATACATATTCCCCTAGATGGTTTCCTAGCATGCTCTCTCTCCTGCCCCATCTCTGCTCCCAGAACAAATCTCGGCATCTTTGGGCATCTGACTTGGAAGTGTCAGAACTGCTGCCCTCTTCAGTCTGATTTTGTCTATGTTGTCTTTTGTCTCTACTAGACCATGAGTCCTTTGAGCAGTGCATCATCATTTCCGACCTCCCCGGGCCCTCCCTGGCACCTACTCTCATGGACTGAACGCCTTCTGTTTATTGAATGAGCTTTTGATTACAGTGAAATCTTACCTCCATATTTTATTTAGCATTAGTCCAGAGACTAATTAAATTAGTCCAGGCCAGAGATACTGCTAAACACAAGACAGACCCACCGCAATAAAGAATTATCTGGCCCAAACTGTCAGTAATGCTGAGGCCAAGAACACCAATCTTCAAATGAAAGTTCACCTGCGTACCTACTACCATCTTTTTTAAGTCTTACAAAGACAAATAGTTAATACTCATGGAATTAAGATTTATGGCCCAGTCACGTGCTGCTCACTGTTAAGGCACTGCTGCTCTGTAGCCTAGGCCAAATGGGAGTCCAGTGTGCTTCTTTTTCCACCTTAAAAGCCAGGCATGGTGGTGCGCACCTGTAGTCCCAGCCACTCAGGAGGCGGAGGCAGGAGGATCCCAACACGGTGAGACTCTGTCTTTAAGAAAAACAAATTTGTGATTACAAGCTGTTGAGTTGGTATATTACTCCTTCATTGAAAACAATCTACAGTTTGTGAAAATTTTTGTAATTCAACCTTACTATAGATCTTTCTTGGAAATATTAGACAATTTCTTGCCTACCTATAGTAAGATATAGAAAATATTTAATAATATAATAAAACTTCATTTTAGAATGGTTTTTAGTTTTAAAAATTTTTTTCCTTTAGGTATAAATTACCCATCCAGTCCCATATTTTGGATATCAAAATCGTAAACACTGGGTCATTTTTTTTTTCTTTTTTTAGAGAGGATTTTGCTATAGGGCGCGTGCGCTCGCCAGACAGACAGAGAGAGACAGAGAGACAGAAAGCGAGAAATCACCCCCCAGTGGGGATGGCCACGCTGCAATCCCTTCTCCTCCATTCTCCTCTCGGGATCCTGGGCACACACGCACACACGTCCGGCGTGAGTTTCAGTCACCGGGTCCAGGACTCGAACCGCGGTCGACTACGTGGGAGTCCAGTGACGTAGCCATTACGCTAACTGCTGGTTCCAACACTGGGAAATATTACATCCCCTGACTATTCTTTCTACCTGATAAATAACCACTATATTATCGTTTATGTTTCTTTGTCCCAATAAAAGAAATAAACATATTATTCTTTTCATACAAAAATGATGGCATACTATATACTCTTCAGTGTAGTAAGCTTTCTGTGTTCAAGTAACTTTCAGAGAAATTGTTATTCTTTTTTTTTTAAGAGAGGTTTTTGCTATAGGATGCATGCACTCGCCAGAAAGACAGAGAGAGAGACAGAAAGTGAGAAATCACCCCCTGGGGGGATCGCCTCGCTCCAATCCCTTCTCCTCCATTTTCCTCTCAAGATCTTGGGCATGCCCGGTGTGAGTTTAAGCCACCGGGTCCGGGACTCGAACCGCGGTCGGCTACATGGGAGTTCAGCGACATAGTCATTACGCCAACTGCTGGTCCCCAGAAATTATAATTCTAAATAACTCAAATTTCACATTAGCAGAGGATAAGGATTTGTCTCTAGGTGTCTATGAAGGGATAGAGGAGACTTAAAAAAATATTTTTATCTATTATACTTACTTTTTCATTGAAATCCTCAGGGATATTTGATGCTTTCTTTACTTTTTAGATGGAATGTTGTAATCGCCATTTAACTTGGGATTCTCATTATGAATATTATACTGCAGTATACTGTAGATGCTTTCAAGTTCGTTTAGGGGGTGTATGATTATTTCTAAAAGTTCTGGGTTTTATGCTCATGAGTTATTATTTCTGCTCCTGTATTTCATTTATCATTTTATTAGTACCTTTTCGTGTGTGCTGCTAGCTGATCTTATTCTTAACAGCTTCCTTTCATTATTCCATTCTATTTGGTATTTTTAATGCCCTTTGGTCTAGGAAATCAGGCTAATTGAAATAGTTTGTAATATGAGAACATAGGTTTTGAGAGAATTTCTAGATAAGCCAAGTTGAATTGTAGATTCAAGTACTTTTCCCTTTTTATTGAAGTGCTTAATGAGATATAAAAATATGAAAAGTCTAGCCCTAGAAACTAGAACCAAATGTGCTCAGGAAGTTAGAGGGGACATTTGACTGAGCCACAGTAACACCTGCTAACTCAGCATGCACAGCCTGGCCTCCCATGCACTGCTGGACATCTACAGCCTTAGGAGGCACCCTGCAGTCCTGAAGGTCCACGAGGTTTGCAGGAGGCAGAGGCAGCTTCAGTTCTCAAGAAGCAGGAGTGGCACCTGTGCTTGGTGCCAGCCTACTGGGCTGAAGCAGTGTGAGAGAGATTTCCACCTTAAAAGCCAGGCATGGTGGTGCGCACCTGTAGTCCCAGCCACTCAGGAGGCGGAGGCAGGAGGATCCCCACACGGTGAGACTCTGTCTTTAAGAAAAACAAATTTGTGATTACAAGCTGTTGGGTTGGTATATTACTCCTTCATTGAAAACAATCTACAGTTTGTGAAAATTTTTGTAATTCAACCTTACTATAGATCTTTCTTGGAAATATTAGACAATTTCTTGCCTACCTATAGTAAGATATAGAAAATATTTAATAATATAATAAAACTTCATTTTAGAATGGTTTTTAGTTTTAAAAATTTTTTTCCTTTAGGTATAAATTACCCATCCAGTCCCATATTTTGGATATCAAAATCGTAAACACTGGGTCATTTTTTTTTTCTTTTTTTAGAGAGGATTTTGCTATAGGGCGCGTGCGCTCGCCAGACAGACAGAGAGAGACAGAGAGACAGAAAGCGAGAAATCACCCCCCAGTGGGGATGGCCACGCTGCAATCCCTTCTCCTCCATTCTCCTCTCGGGATCCTGGGCACACACGCACACACGTCCGGCGTGAGTTTCAGTCACCGGGTCCAGGACTCGAACCGCGGTCGACTACGTGGGAGTCCAGTGACGTAGCCATTACGCTAACTGCTGGTTCCAACACTGGGAAATATTACATCCCCTGACTATTCTTTCTACCTGATAAATAACCACTATATTATCGTTTATGTTTCTTTGTCCCAATAAAAGAAATAAACATATTATTCTTTTCATACAAAAATGATGGCATACTATATACTCTTCAGTGTAGTAAGCTTTCTGTGTTCAAGTAACTTTCAGAGAAATTGTTATTCTTTTTTTTTTAAGAGAGGTTTTTGCTATAGGATGCATGCACTCGCCAGAAAGACAGAGAGAGAGACAGAAAGTGAGAAATCACCCCCTGGGGGGATCGCCTCGCTCCAATCCCTTCTCCTCCATTTTCCTCTCAAGATCTTGGGCATGCCCGGTGTGAGTTTAAGCCACCGGGTCCGGGACTCGAACCGCGGTCGGCTACATGGGAGTTCAGCGACATAGTCATTACGCCAACTGCTGGTCCCCAGAAATTATAATTCTAAATAACTCAAATTTCACATTAGCAGAGGATAAGGATTTGTCTCTAGGTGTCTATGAAGGGATAGAGGAGACTTAAAAAAATATTTTTATCTATTATACTTACTTTTTCATTGAAATCCTCAGGGATATTTGATGCTTTCTTTACTTTTTAGATGGAATGTTGTAATCGCCATTTAACTTGGGATTCTCATTATGAATATTATACTGCAGTATACTGTAGATGCTTTCAAGTTCGTTTAGGGGGTGTATGATTATTTCTAAAAGTTCTGGGTTTTATGCTCATGAGTTATTATTTCTGCTCCTGTATTTCATTTATCATTTTATTAGTACCTTTTCGTGTGTGCTGCTAGCTGATCTTATTCTTAACAGCTTCCTTTCATTATTCCATTCTATTTGGTATTTTTAATGCCCTTTGGTCTAGGAAATCAGGCTAATTGAAATAGTTTGTAATATGAGAACATAGGTTTTGAGAGAATTTCTAGATAAGCCAAGTTGAATTGTAGATTCAAGTACTTTTCCCTTTTTATTGAAGTGCTTAATGAGA